TACTGCAAGGCCCTGGTGGGAGACAACAGAGACCTTGCTTTAGGGTGGCAGCTGGAAAACCAAAAGGGCTCTGTAAATAGGATACAGGGATCCAGAGGGAATCAAGGCCAACTCCAAAAGTCTGGAGGGTGGGCCACCTGGCTTCCCTACTTCAACCTGATGCTCAAATTCATCTTCAGATGATCTAACACGAGTACAAGAACAAGAATCCTCTACAAGGCTACCAAGTTGACCGAGCTTCAGTACTAATGTCACAACACACCAAATCCACTCATCTTCTCTATTTTCCACTTAATCTTTCTAAAAATATTTATACCACTGGCCTTAAATACCTATCTAGGCACATCAAGCCCAAAATTTCATAAATACTATTGCTTAGTTTGATGCTGGTTATGGTATGTTTCCTTCCTAATCCACACTAGGATGTAATTACCCTAGGAGGTTCTTGCATACCACCAAAAATCAAATTGCCCCACCTGGGTTGGGCAGGTTTTATCCTTCCTCAGGTGCAGAGGTTTGACAATCACAGCAATACTGTCCACTGCACATCTCCTGTGCTCCCAACTCTGTGCCTAGCTCTGCCTTCTCTCCCCCAAATCTTGCAAGACAGAATTGACCTCCTTTTCGAGGATGAAGAAACTGAGTCACCAAGAGCTTAAGCAACCTGCATGAAGCCACACAACAATTACATGGAAAAGTCCACACCCAAACTCGAGCCAGCCCTAAGCCTGTACTCAGTCACCATGCTGCCCCACCATAATTTTTCAATGGCTTCTTCCCACAAAACCAATTCCAAAAGAATATCAAAGAAGGAGGAAAAGTATATACTTTCTTTGCTGCTATATCAATCTTTTATTTGTTTACAGATAATTAAAGTCATCGGCCTGAAATGAGGGTGCCTGTGGAAATAGTTTCCAATCTGCTCAAAATCTGACAGGCTTACACTAAATGGTGTCTCGGTTTGGCGTAATTTCTTTTATTTCTTCTGAGTTCTCCGTGTTGAAATTCTCTTTGTAGCTTCACAGAGCTGTTTTACCAACCCATGGTAATGTGAGAATAAAATCAATATTCTCCTATCAGGTTAGCCAAAAATTTTGTTTGTTTTTTCCATCTACAATGCCTGTACTAGTGCTTAGTTGTCTTTAACTTCATTCCAAACAATTCTGTTAGATTGTATTGTGATAGGTGTCGTATCAGTGTGCATTTTTAAAAAGTTATCAAATTGGGTGAATTTTCATGCAGTCAATTTAATATTGAAGACTGAAGAAAATATGCAACATTTTCGGTCTATCTGGTTTATTATTTCAAGAAAGGTAAAAGCACCAATGAAGAGCAAAAAAAGAAGGCTTGTGCAGTGTATGAAAAAGTGCTGTGAGTGATTGAGTGTCAAAAATGGTTTGTGAAGGTTCTTGTATTGTTGACACTTTGGCCAAATAACTTAGTTTTGGGGCTCTCGTTTGCATTGGAAGATATTTAGCAGCACCTGGGGCCTCTACCCACTAGAAGCCAATAGAGGGAGACAGCTGAAATCCTCAAAATGTTCAAATCAATAAAGTTTGGTGAACATGAAAATTGTCTTTCATTTTATGGAAAAAAACTAAGACTTTTTGGCAAATCCAATATTATTTGATTTGTCTTATTATGGTGCTATTTGAAAAGGAAATGTTTTTAGGTATAATAAAATGAACAAGTTTGGTTTTATTGGATGCATGTGTGGAAGCAAACTCACTTTCCACTCCCAAACCTTCATTAGCAGAAAAGTAACTTAAAAGTCCATCAACCCACACAAATTTGAAAGAAAAAGAAACCCAACACTGGTGCCCCCACAAATAAAAAACATGGAAGCCAGCAGTCACTTCTTTTCAGAAACTGCAGATGACTGACTCATGATTTGCTTCTAGCTTGGTGTCCCTGATAACAGTGGCCTGAGTGCTGTATGAAAGTCAAAATTATCTGTCCCCATTAGTCTCAGAGATTATACTCTGAAACGGCCACTGCTCACAAGTGTAAAAGAAACACTCCAGGAAACAAACATAAGGATATTCACATTTGTGCTAGCCAGTCTGTGCAACAGAAGCAAGGCCTTGGGAAAACTTCCTTTGACAGGGCATAACACAGACCAGGTGACCACCAGCCTGTGTGAGTCTGTCTTTCAATCACCCGCACTACCTCTGAGTTAGTGAATGAATAAACTGCCAAGCAAGTTCATCCCTGGTCAGACCTAATAATGCCACCACCTCCGTAGTTCCATATGCCACACAACTTGAAATGTGATTGGTTGCTTCTGGCCTTAAAGGAAGCACATAGTACTGATCCCAACTATATACTGTGTTCCCCATCTTTTCCCTCTCTGCCCCTCACCCTTTGTAACTTTCCTTATTGCTCAAAGCAAGGAATTTTAAACATAATCTTGAGCACTGTTCTTCTCCAGCAGGTTTACAAGGGCTGTAGAGTTCAATCAAGAGCAAAAATGCAACCCCAATAAAGTGGAGCAGGAGGTGAACAAACTAACAATGATAAACTATCAACCAACCAGTCTCCCAGACTCTGTCAAAACCACCATGCTTAGGAAGAGCGGGTAGGATGCTCAACTAAGAAGCCTTCCCTTCTTCAAGCTGATCAGCCCCCTAAGATTCCAGCTGCTGATTCAACTGGAATCATGACAAAGAGGCTAAACAGGTGCAAGTAACTATCGCAGCCCAGCATATGGATCCAACCGGAATTGATAAGAACTAAATTCCACCTTGCTGGCTTTTTAATAGGATCTTCCTGATCCTAAACTACAATACAGGTTGGGGAAAAACAGGTTTGGAGTTGGTCATCTAGAAAACACAATAATAAATAACACAGGAATAAACTGCTTTTGCATACTCACAACTTTTACCTGTGGCAAAAGTTAACCTACTTTTGGCACACCCTGTATATACACCCTGCACCACATTTTAGCAGTGGGAGGGCCAAGAAAGCAGAAATACACTGCCTAATATACAGGCAGCTTTTTAAACCACACACCTGTGTCAAGAACCACAAGCCTGACAAGACAGGGTACTTTCTGGATGATGACCTGGAGAAGCCCACTCAAGAGAGACAAATTTCTTATGTTTAAAGAATCAGTACTAGTAACAGCAACCTTTACCATCCAATTTGAGATTCCAGTAAATTTGAAGAATCATTTAAGGGGTTGTTTAAATACCTTTCCAATGCAAATCCTGATATGAAAACAAGAACATAATGTAAAACTTGAATGCATGCACAAACTTCAGAAAATTCTTCCATTACTCTCCAACACTCTTCAGTGTTGTAGAAAATTGCTTAAAACTTGTGGACAGAAACATTTCTCCCAAAGACAAAGTTCTGTACCACAAACAAGAGTCTTCAGTGGGATGTCCATGCTCATTATTAATTCTCTCATTAGTATTCAAAAACACTTGAAAAGAGGTGAGGCAATGTAGGTGAAAAACCAATGTGCTAGCAGAATTGAACTTATTCCGACTGGGTAATAATTGAAAAGCAACGTTTTTTTGTTATGTAGCATTACAGGAATATACAAAATTCTCTCAGCAATGTCCTCTCTCAGCTGGCTAGTTGAATCACACTTGCCAAAAGCTCAGCTAAGTGACGCCTTGGTGGGGCCAAGTGAAATAGATAGCCCAGTCCTTGGTGTGGACTCTGCTCTCCTGCCCCCATTACTGCCATTGTATTACTGCTACTGTAAGTGCCACTGGGAAGTGCTTTCTGCAGGCACCTCTGCCACTTGGCCTTTTGCAATTTGGCAAGCCAGTTTTTTGGTCAATATCCAGTTATTGGCAGTAAGTTATTCACAGGGGAATACCAGTAATGGTAAGTATTCCCACCAACCAGTATACAGCACCCGACACGTGCAGCCCACCCCACAGGACAAATGCTTGTTTCCCCAGCTTCTTTAGTGCCCCCATTTATTTACGGAACTCAAGATCCCTTGCTAAAAGCAAAACAAGAATGCAAATATTCAACGCTAGGTTCACTTAAGTGCCTCCTTTTGACAGCTGCCAGTCTAACTCCTCAAAGTGTAAAGAAACTATCTTTTAAGACAACTTCGATTTTATACTCTTACGTACTTGGCGCCATAAGAAATGAAAAAATACTTTCCAATGACCAAATCTGCTTGAACTATGTAAGTCAAAGACTCTTTCCCTTTCAGTGCCTTTACAAACCTCCTAACCAAGACCTTACATCTCAAAGTACAGTACCTTGTAAAACTGCTGCCACAGGGGCAGAAAATTAAGTTACCTTCGGAGTCAGGTTTGATGTGGATATAGGCAGCCATGTGTGGCGGGGCTTTCGCGTAGTTTCAAACACACACCTGGCCGGATGCTGACTGCACCATATACAGTCGCGGATCAAACTCCCCGAAATGCAGTTCAGTTAACTTAGACACCGCGAGCGCCTGGCTCACAACTCTGGGCCAGTCCAAAGGCTGAGAACATCTGCATTCCTGGCAGCTATTTAAAAATGAAGCCCGACCCTGGCAAATGTTATAAGGCGATCTGGGGGACCGTCGCTAAGCCTGGCGGGCTCTCTGGAGGAGCGCACCGGAGGAGCAGGTGCCGGCGAGCCCAGAGTCCGGGGAGATCGAGTTTCCGAGCTTACCAGACAAAACCAGGCCAGATCCGCAGGCCCCAGAGACGCCTACAAGCGGGACGGTCCCGGGAGCCTAGCTCCCCACCCGCCCGGCGATGCGGCCGCCAGCAGCGAGAAAACAAACGCCTGCGCCCCTCCGCGGCCGGAGCGCCCTAATTTACAGCTCTGAGGGCTTTGTGCCGGGGAGGCCGCCCGGTGTCCGGACAATGAGCGGGGCGGGGGCCCGTGGGCCCGGCATGACGCTGCAGCCTCCTCGCCGGGTCGGGCCAGTCGCCCGGGCCTGCTTTAAAGATGGCGAGCCCCCCGCGTGGCTCCCGCGGCTCCCCCCGGCCACAATGGAAGGTGCTCCCGGCCTCGCCGCGGCAGCCCACGGACCTCACCTTCCATCTCCATGTCCTCGGGCTCGCTAAGCTGCTGCTCGCCCGCTTTCTGCTGCTGCTGCTGCTGCTGGTGGTTCATGTCGGCCGCGGCCTGGGCCTCGCCTGCGGCCGGGGGTCGGGGCTGCGGGCCCGTGGGGCAGGAGGCGGCGAGCCGGGGCGGCGGCGGCGGCGACGGCGGCGGCGCGGCCTCCTCCCGCGCGTCGTCGGCGGTGGCCCCGGGGCGGCCCGCGGCGGGCGGCGGCGGCGGCGGCGGCAGGGAGACGCGCACGTACTTGCTCGCGATTCGCCCAATCTCGGCGCCGAGGCGGGCGGACGGCCGGCGGGCCGAGCTGGGTAGCCTCGTCGCTGGCTGCGGCCGCCGCCGCCGCCGCTGCCGCGGCCGCCGCGGGGCCCGCCTCCCGCCGCCGAGGCCGGGGCTGCGGGGCTGCGGGCCGGCCGGGGGCGGAGGGCGGCCGGGCGGGGGCCGGGGAGTCAGCCCCGCCTCGGGCCGGGAGCGGCGGTCCGGAGGCCTGGCCTGGCGCGGCGGGCCTGTGTGGCCTGGGGCCGGCGGGAGCGGCGGCGGCGCGGGCGGGCGACGGGCCGGGCGCGCTCGGGCGGCTGAGGCCTACGCGTCCTCGGCGTCGTCGTCGGGGCTTCGGCAGCGGACGCGGCGCCCGGCGGCTCGACTCGGCTCGCTCTCAAAATGGCGGCGGCCTGAAATGTCACATCCGCATGGGGGGCCGAGAGCGAGCTAGCGAGTGAAGAGAGCAGACGGGCGGGCGGGCGGACGCCGGCAGGAGGGCGGGGCGGGAGCGGGAGGCGGAGCAGGGGAGGCGGAGCCGAGAGTGGCCCGCCCGCCGCCACCACGGCCTCCCAGGTCTGCCGTCCGCCAGCACCGCGCCCCCAGCGCGGCCCCCGCCTTCGGTACCGGCCCCTGAGCCCCGAGGTCCGTCTGGGCCCGGGACGCTCGGTATGGGTAACCCAGCGCCCCCAAACCTAGGAGGGTGGGTGGGCCAGAATCTGACTCATCTGGGAGTTTAATCACCCGGGAAGGTCCAGAGTGGCGATCAGAGGTGGGGGCCGAAAACCTGCTCCCAGACGTGTGACTTTAGGCAATTAGCTGATATTGCCCTAAACTGCTTAAAAGAGAACCCTGAGCAGACCGAGGAGTCAAGGCCCTGGTAGCATTTACGGTTATGATGTAGCACCCCTAAACCGATCTGTGATTTATTCACCCAATACCTAACTTGAGAGAACTAATTTTCTCACTGTAGTTCAAACCGGTCAAGTTCGGTCCCTCAAAACCAGTCCAAATAGCTTTTCATTTCGCATTAGCCTATCAACCCAGTCTAATTATGATTCACCGAAAATCTCTCATTCCTGGAGATACTCAGTGAGTATCTTCGCTGCTATCTCCTCCGATTCTTGAGAAACTGGAGATTAGACTCAACTTTTCCATGGTAACCAAAGCAGTGTGGGTAAATAATAGAATTCAGGAAAAGGATATATATTTCTACACATTTGTATGTTTAAGTGACTGTCTCAAGATGTAATTTTACACTAAAAGGCCAGGAAATTGTCATTACCGTCCCACTTGCCAACTTTCTGTCTTCTTTTTCTTCAGTCTATTTATTGTCCATATCCCCACCCACAAAAGATGTTTGGGATACTGGGGTATCCCGAATGCCTGGGACCCAGCAAGTGCTCGGTCAATATTTGTGAAATGTGACTGGATTCCCCCCCCCCCAAGCCTTTAATACACTTGAAGTTACCCACTAGTGAAATTTCTTCCTGGAGTAAAGAAATGACAGGAAGCAGTTACTTTCACTGGGGTTCAGTCCTGGCCCCTGGTCATCCCCCAATTCTGAAGAGGGGTTGTTATTCACACAAATTCTCACAAATAAACACTCCTCAGATAAACACTGTTGTTAATAAACACTCCTCAGATGCTAGTGAATGAATCCTTCTCTCCAGGTCTCTAGAGACTTGGGAGAGGGCAGAAAGAATTCTCTGGCAGAGGAAGACACGGCAGGGAGAAGAATACATGCCTATTGAGTTCTACAGTGTCCCAACTGATCTTCATTACTGGGTTCAAAACCAAGCAGGAAATTGTGAGGAGTAAAAAGGATACTTTGCATGATGGATAATTACATGCTGTGTAGCCATACAAGGAAATACTATCTGGCAATAAAAAAAGAATGAGGCACTGGTGGAGGCTACAACTGGATGGACCTTGAAAACAATGTGCTGAGTGAAAGAAGCCAAAAGCAAAAAATACCATGTAGCCTTCGATTCCAATTATAGAAAATGTCCAGAGCAGGTAAATCAACCTTTAAAGACAGAAAGTAGATTGAGGACTGGGGAGCTAAGGGTTTCATATAGTATTTCTTTTAGGGGTAATGAAAATTACCTGAAATTTGATTCTGGGAATGGTTGCACAATGCTGTGGACATACTAAAAGTTATTGAATGGTACACTTTAAATGGGTGAATTGTATACATGAATCATATCACAATGAAACTTTAAAAGGGTATCTTGCAAAGGAAAAGAATGAGTGAGGAAGCAGAGAATAGAGGCTGTTTATAGTCTAGACAAGAGAAGGAGGTGGATTGGACCAGGGTAATGTTGGCGGAGAAAAGAGGACAGGTTTAAGTATGTTGGCAGATTGAATTGGCTGGATGTATACAGATACACTGGAGATTGGAAGAGAAAAAGAATACAGAATTGTGCCCTGATCATTGTGGCTCAATTGGTTGGGCATTTTTCCACAAAGTGAAAGGCCCCCAGTTCAATTCCTGGTCAGGGCACATTCCTGGGTTGTGGGTTGGGTCCCTGATTGGGGTGTGTTAGAGAGACAACTGATCAATGTTTCTCTCTCCCCCTCTTCTCTAAAAATAAAATCTTTTAAAAATATATCAAGCATCACTCTCAGACTTTTGGCTTAAGAACAGAGTTCATTTCCAGGCCACTGCAGCTGCTAGAAAAAGCAATACAAGAGCCCTTTGAGACCCACCAAGAAGGCCTGGACTCAATTATTCCAAAGGTCTGTGCTAACCTGTGTTCTTCTTCCTCTGGTAGAATTATGTCTGTATTAACCATAAAGCCCATTTGCAGTCAGAAGGGGTGTGTACTGAAGAACTCCACAGAAGATTCGAATCAGCTGAGTAATGCTGGCTTCCTGGGAGGCTTAATGCCAAGATGCCTCAAAGGACCTGGAGAGTTCCAAAGGGAGAGAAGACCAAGGGCACCATTTCTATCATTGCCCGTTTTGTTTTATAATTTCACACCCACTACCCTGGTTCAGACATCAGGGATGTAAGAACAAAAAGAAAAACCAGGAAGACAGGAACAGCTGGAATAGCTGACTTGTCATTAAGTGGAGTCAGTCACGTGTAGGGAGGGGCTGCTCTATCATTACTCTCAGAGCAAAACATATTTTGCTGCTCCTAGGGCCCATGCCATGACTTGGCATAAACAGAGGGTTGATTTTTCTTCTTGAGAACCAAAATATTTATCTACCTGGAAGCTATGTTGGTCAGAGTCTAAAATAATTGAAGTATCAGAGAAGAAATGGGAGTTAGCAGGCGTGGGTTTTTTTCCCCAGTATATACAAGTTCTTAGATAATCTGTACCCGAAAAGATGACCTAAACGCCAACTGCAAGGTTTGTCAAAAAGGATTTGGGTTTAGAGAAGATGAGGCATTTGCCCAGGCTATGAGGCTGGAAGCAGTTTGGGATGGTAAGGAGCTACTGGATTCAGAACTAAATGATCTCTATCTAGGAGGGGGTTCTGCAAACTTGGGAAGTTGGTTTAACCTCTTAACAAACTGAACTTCCCTATCAGGGAAACAGGGAGGAAAGTTTCTGCCTGAAGGGACTATTGCAGAACTCATATGAAATACTAAAACTTTATTGAAACACTCACAATACAGAGGTTATAAAATGGTTATTGTATGAGCAAGGGCAAAATGAGATTGAGACTCCAGCCCCCAGTTCCTGACCCACCACCTTTTCATGCAGAGCTGTTTATAGGTGGAGTAGCTATGTACCAGGGACTGGGCTAACTGCTGTTAGATGAATGGCAAAAATGAGCACAGGGTGGCTACCTAAAGTTATCTGACTAACATTCTTCTCTGTTGTGAGACGGGGAAATGTTACTGCAAGCTTTTTTCTAGAATGACTGCTCATGGTTGGCCAGATGTGTGTGCAGATGCTAGGTTCTAATTAAAAAAAAAAAAGCCCTGGCTGGTGTAGCTTAGTGGATTGAGTGCTTGCCTGTGAGCCAAAGGGTCACCAGTATGATTCCCAGTCAAAGCATATGCCTGGGTTGCAGGCCAGGTCCCCAACAGGGGCCATGCAAGGGGCAACCACGTATTTCCTCGCCCTCTCTTGTTCCTTCCCTTTTCCTCTCTCTAAAAATAAACAAATTGTTTTTTAAAAAGCTCAGATCTAAAAGCTTATATATCTAAGAAAAACTCCTGACCTGGCCTGGTAGCTCAGTTGGTTAGAGCATTGTCCCGAATCATCAAGGTTTTGGGTTCGATGCACGTACAAGAATCAATGAATGAATGCATATATAAGTGGAACAACAAATCAATGTTTTTCTCTGTCTATCTCTCTCTCCCTCCCTTCCTCTCTCTAGAAAATCAACTTTAAAAAATCTCACAAAAGTTGTTTTGGTAGTGTGACTAGATTGACTCAAATCTTTAATACAAAGATGCAATAATGAGGTGTTGAGAACATGGATAGACAATGGTGCCTGCCTTCTTCTCCTTTTGGGTTTTTTTTTTTTTTTTTTTTTGGTTTTTAGGAAAATTAGTCAAGCTATTACCCATTTCTCTTGGTCAGGCATTCTTAAAAGGGTTAAGTATATGGAACAGTGGGGCCTTTTTAATTACTTCATTTTGCTATGTATAATGCGTACTTTTTTGCCCAAATTTTTCAGGGAAAAAAATAAGTATGGGCATGATACATGGGTAGTACTAATTCCATAGCTACATAAATGTTTTTGATTCTTTTACTTATGCTTATGTGTTAAAAGTGTGACTCTAGAAAGCAATAACGATATACGTATGCAAAATAGCACCATGTAATATGATAATCAGTTTTGTTTATAAATATAAATAAATAATTGAGTTAAAAAATTAAAACAAAAGTTTTTTTTCCTGAATGTTTGGGCAAAAAAATGTGGGTGTGCATTTATATACAGGAGCACATTATGCATGGCAAAATATGGTAATGTTTTTTTTTAATTGAATTGCTCAGTTAAATAGAGCTGATGGTGAGACAGACTTTTTAAAGCACTTCACACATTAACTCATTTAATTCTCACAACAACCCTATGAGCCACGTGCTATTATCTGCATTTTATGGATCAGGTCACTGAGGCTCAGTCTCCTCCAGGTTAAATAACTAGCTCAAGATCACACAGGTAGTAAAAAAAGGAGTTCAAAGTTGAACCCACGCACTCTGGGTCTATATATCACAATAGAATGTTAATGAGACTTTATATCTGCTTTATACCCCAAATGTGAAATGCCCTCCCCTATTAAAAGCATGAATCAGGAATCCTGTCATTTCACACCTGTCTTCACACTATTTTCCTATCCACATTAGCTGGAACCGACGGATGCAGGCCATCTTTCAGCAGCATTGCTCTGGAATCATGCGGAATCTTCTTTAAGAACTACCCTTTGCTTAAAAGGCATCCACTTGGTATTTTTAATTGACCAATATGAGCCTAGAAATTTGCCACATCACATACACTCTTGACAGAATTCTATCAGCAGGAATTGTAACCAAATAATAAGTAACTACTCATAGAGCCAGGAAACATGCTTTATGTGAGTGTTTTACTTAACCTTCACAATAAGTAAGACCAATAATAATTGCTAGTGTTTACTGAGTGCTTCCTTATGCCAGGCACATTGTAAAGGCTTTGTATTAACTCATTTATTTCTTCTCAACAACCCTGTGAAATAAACTGTCATGAACCT